AAATTTTGAAAAAGAATAATAGAAAATGAAGTAAGATCAGTTGTAAAAACTCCATTGTAAATATATTGAAAGATAAAAATTAAGATGTTTGATAAAAATTTAAAAAAAACATTGGTCTATTGCATTTTTTTCACACCCTGTATACAAGAAAGTGTCTGAATATGTTAAAATCTCCGCCATTTTATAAGCTTTCCAACCATATGCTACACTATTGAGGTTTAGATATTCTTTTGTTTGTTTTAGTGGTTTGAATACCAGAAAACAGGGAACTTTTTTACTGTTTTTATTGTTCAAGCTGAAACAAAAATACAACTTTTACTTAATACAGGCCGACTTTCTATGTTTTAAATGTTAAAGACATCATGTTTTGTAGTCTTCAAACCACTTAACCCCTAAACTGCGGCCTAAGATAGTGGGCCGCGGTTTGGACACGATCAGTGGCGCGGGATGTAATTACGCTCGCCAATGGCCCAGGGCAAGGTTTTTCGCAATTCTTCGTGGTTTTTTAACATTCTGAGGAAACCTAGTATAAAACGCATTTTAAAGCAAATAACTATGATAAATATTATAATAAACATTGTAATAGTCTTCATGTTAGCGTAAATGATATACTTTAATTTTTAAATTTTATAAATAACTAGCTGTACCTGCGGGCTTTGCCCCGTTTAACTACTTAATTTTCAAGATGAGCTTGTTCGCATGGCTCTATCACGTCCTGGTTGAAGTTCGTTCGCTACGCTCACTCACCTTTAGGTTCGAACTCGTTCGCTACGCTCACTTGCCTTCAGGTTAGCTTGTTCGCTACGCTAACTCGCCTCCAGGTTGAAGTTCGTTCGCTACGCTCACTCACCTTTTGGTTGCAAATTAGCTATTGTCATAAATAAAAAAAAAATATAGTACTGCACCCTGTTGGTAATCCTTGTAACTTTAATGCTATTAAACATCATAGAACAGAACCAACTTGTTTAATTGAAACAGCTGTTAAGATTCATTAATTCCTTTTAAATATGAAAAATCATGAGGTTTACATGGGAAACTCCAGAGCCACTGGGGCGGAGCCCGAAAGCCCGATCAGAATTAAAACTACTTAGTTTTCCTATTTAATTCCCAAAGAATCTGTGTACCGAATTTCAGCCTCCTAGGTAAATGGGAAGTGGGAGAATTAGTGATGAGTGAGTGAGTGAGTCAGTCAGAGAGTCAGTGAGGGCTTTGCCTTTTATAAGTATAGACTAGCTGGCCCGACAGATGTCGTCCTGTCCTAATGTGGTTTTATGTCAATGCTCGTTCATTTCCAAGATGAGCTCGTTCGCATGGCTCAATCACGTCCTGGTTGAAGTTCGTTCCCTACGCTCACTCACCTTTAGGTTGGAGCTCGTTCGCTGCGCTCCCTTGCCTTCAGGTAAGCTCGTTCGCTACGCTAACTCGCCTCCGGGTTGAAGTTCGTTCGCTACGCTCACTCATCTTTTGGTTGCAAATTAGCTGTTGTCATAGATTAAGAAAAATATAGTGCTGCACCCTGTTGGTAAACCTATTACCTTTTTAATGCTATTGAACATCACAGAATCAAATTCTTTAGTTGAACCAGCTGTTAAGATTCTTTAATAATTCCATTTAAATATGAGTACTCATAAGGCTAAAATGGGAAACTCCAGAGCCACTGGGGCGGAGCCCCTTTGACGGATCTTCACCAAACTTCACCCAAACCATCCTTAAATAATGCTTAATAATGCCTGAAAGTTTCATTACAATCTGTCGAGCGGTTTCGGAGTCCATAAAGGACAAACAAACAAACATACATCGGATTTTGTATATATAGATTAATAATAATAAACTAATAAATAAATAACAAGATATTGCATTGACCATATTTACTTACGGGTTTTTTTTGTTGTCTGGTCAACTGAGTGGATGTTTCAAGAAGTAAATATTGAAATATTTATATATATAGCCTATATACTACTAGCTGGCCCGACAGACGTCGTCCTGTCCTAATGTGGTTTTATGTTAAATGCTCGTTCATTTTCAAGATGAGCTCGATCGCATGGCTCAATCACGTCTTGGTTGAAGTTCGTTCGCTACGCTCTCTCACCTTTCGGCTGGAGCTCGTTCGCTGCGCTCACTTGCCTTCAGGTTAGCTCGTTCGCTACGCTAACTCACCTCCAGGTTGAAGTTTGTTCGCTACGCTCACTCACCTTTTGGTTGCAAATTAGCTGTTGTCATAAATAAAAAAAAAACAATAGTGCTGCACCCTGTTGGTAAAACCTATTAACTTTTTAATGCTATTGAACATGACAGAATCAAATTCTTTAGTTGAAACAGCTGTTAAGATTCTTTAATTCCATTTAAATAGAGTACTCTTAAGGTTAACATGGGAAACTCCAGAGCCACTGGGGTGGAGCCCTTTTGACGGATCTGCACCAAACTTCACACAAACCACCCTTGAATAATGCTTAATAATGCCTGAAAGTTTCATTACAATCTATCGAGCGGTTTTGGAGTCCATAAAGGACAAACAAACAAACAAACATACATTGGATTTTATATATATATAGATGTACAAAGGTTACTTTTTACTATTTTTAAACATTCTTCAGAGTATGGTACTCTTTGAAGCACGGCACTACGCACAAGGAAACCACGCAGTCCGGGTACTGATACCGCGACTCCCACCTGACCGGTTCACGTCGCAAAATGTGACAATAGACAATAGACATGATGGCAAACATAGCATTGACGTGAGGGAAACTCTTTTTTCCATTGAAGAAAAACATGATGGAAAATGACACTGTGTCAATCTCAGTGGTGTACGACCGAGGTAAGGACAACCATCCGGTTTTTTGACTTTTTGGATCTGAGCTGCAATGGTTTCCTCTAAAATTTGGTGAACTAGCTCTAAATGAAATTCTGCCAGTGTCACTTACACATAGATAAATTTCATGGGAATTGAGTATTGCCAGATCCACAAAATATGTAAAAACGGTTTTTTATACTACTTTTGAGTGCGCCTAATACATTGCTGTAACAATCACACCCGACAAGCCTAGGCTTTCTGTGTCATATATCTCGGTTTCTGTTATACACACACACACACACACACACACACACACATATATATATATATATATATCCAAATAGACATATATACATACATATATACAATGGTTTTGTTTTAACAACACGAAGAACCGACGTTATCATCTCAACGCGACAAAAACAACTACCAGGCGCAACCTTTTGTACTGCAGAACATGTGGCGTAGACGTAGTTCCAGAAAGGTACACTTGAGTGCAGCACCAAATGGTCTGTCAATTCTCAGGGTCAATGTACCATGAAAAAAATTAGCAGAAGACTTGTATCAACGAAATAAATGTTCAGCAGAGAACATCAAAACCGTCTAAACTCGCGCATCGCGGTTAACGCCACAAAGCTGTTGGACGTGATATTCTGTGCGGCGCAATACATGTACAGAATACTACCACGGAATAACGCGTGTGTCGCGGTTAAGGGGTTAAGCGTACATAAGCAGATATAAAGCTCAATGGTGTAGCATGGAACCTTTTATATGCATCATCACACTGCATTTACTTTGTACTTACACCAAAAAATTATTGTCACACTGAGTACCAATCACTCTGTATATTCAATCATCTCCAATCCCCAATTGTTTAGGATAATCAACTATTTACTGTATTTAACTTCCCATTAAAGTTACGCAGAGGATACGCGACCGGTAACCGGACGTGGATTAGGCGTCCGGCAGTTACTGTCATAACCTAACCTAACCAACCAAACTTGCTGATAGTGAAAAAAATCAAATGAAGGTTCAATTCTCTTCATAACATAAAATTATAAATGCCGAAAATTCTAACAAAAGATGTACAGTTAAGAAGAAATTGCATTCAAAGCAAAATCTGTGACAAAAAGTTAAAGATACCGATGGTTTTCGAACCGGGGACCTCTCGCACATCAGCCGAGCACTCTATCCACTACACCACGAACACTGGTGGCTGAACATCGTATCATTGTGGTAATGGCGTTCCGGGACCCCCTACCGGACGCCTAATCCACGTCTGGTTACCGGACGCGTATCCTCTGTGTTAAAGTTAACATTATGTTACTTCAGCTTGAAACATTGACCAGTTATTAGTGCAATGAGTTTGCTATGTATTGACTTTGATGAATACCTCAACTTAAGGAGCATTCATAGATGGTATGTTGGTTTGGTTGCAATCTATTATTTATTCCTATTATTTAGTTACAGTATTTACTATTTAGGCTACTGTTGTTTCTAACAGTTAAATTGTTCTTTTAGTGATAGGAAATGACGAAGAATTATATAGAGGGCGAGATGTATGTTGTATGTGTTCATCTATGACAAAGTATTCTCCCCTTTGTCCTTAATTTCCTTAAGAGTCTACAATTAAACTAGTTCTATATTTTGTTTGTGTTCATATTATTTGGTAAAATTTTTACAGGTTTTTTATGTGCACTTGAACTTGAACTAATGTATTTTAAGTCCATATGCGCCACCTAGTTGCGGCTACACTCAAACTACAGAGCAATACGCACAAACTCCCCTTACTTAAAAAACGTCCCTTGTAGTTTGTTTAGATCATTTTGTTTGTATTAATTGTGTAGGCCATCTAAACTGAGGTACAAATCGAAATCACGTCTAATTGGGCCTGCGCCTGTCGACTGAACACGGCAATAATGCTGCAATGTCCCTAAACTGCTTCATTTGCATTTGAGGTTTGCTGTGATGCTCCTGCGATTCTGCCTGAAGCCTTACTCCCCTTGACGTTTGTTAACATATGGAAATTTAACCGTAAATATATTTTTCAAGTTCACTAAGGACCTGACTATTGTTTTGCACAATTTTAGATTTTGTTATTGTTGTAAATATTTTATTTTTTTACGTCTCCTGGAAGTGATAATACTTAAACAGATTTACTACAAGGACATGAATGAAATCTACATGGATGGTCCCTCGTCTGTTGCAGGCTGCTTTGGACATTGCAGCTCGCACCATCTGCAAGGAAGTGTCTCCTGATGGGATCGGTGTGCTAGTGCTGCACCCTGGATGGGTCCAGACAGACATGGGAGGCCCCAACGCTCTTATCACTACCTCCCAGAGTGTCCAAGGACTGATCAAGGTCATCCTCAGCCTAAGTGACAAAACCAATGGTGCTTTCATACAACACGATGGGGCTACTCTGCCATGGTGAATGCACATTCTGACCATCAAGCAATAATAATTCTTATTTAGCAAACTATTGTTGTGTTATATATTTGTGATAAATTTTATAAATAATATATTTTTGTATTATTTTGTTGTTGCATTTATGGGATAAAAATATATTGGTTATAAATAAAAACTCTTACTTGTTATATAATTGACGCATGATTATTTATGTACCAGTACCGCTATCAAATGTGATAAGTTATTTAACAGTTTCCATTGCTTGATATACAGGTGGATCAAATGTAGAGGCTATAACTTTCTGTTGTATCAAATAGGGTTTATTAAAAGGGGGTTGGTGCACCAATTTCTTTTTCAAAAACCACCCCGCCCTCCGAGCGTCACAGAAGTTACAATAACTTTATATAGTAACACCTCTTATTTTGATGCATTGTGATTTTGCTTTCTTGGGTTGGCCAACCTGAAATATAGCCTTCTGCCTTTCTGTTAGCTTTCAGTCTGCTCTGCTGTTGTAATTGTTGTTGGTTGTTTCTCTTTACCAAATACATAGTTATAAAACATTGTTTCAGTGATTGTGAAGTATATACTCAGATGTTGAATGTTTCAGTGTTAATTTTTGCAGTGTTTTTATTTATTAGTGTTACTTTTACCTCAGAATGCCCCGAAGTACAAGAATATTCAAGAAGAGAGCGAAAACGTTTGGTCGGTAGGTCTGATGAGTACAACCCAAAAAATGATCAAGGCCTAACCCCATCCAAGCCTAAAGCCCCGTTCACACGGGGCGAGTTTACAAGCTACACGCCGGCTTTTTTACACGCAGCTAGTAAAATAGCACAGTGTGAACGACGTACTCGCTCAAAAGCTGCTTGTAAAAATGCTCTGGAAAAAGTTGACGGTGCCGCTACTTTAGTTGCTTGTGCGCTTGTTACTCAAAGATGTTGGAGGATTTGGTTCAAGCCAGCTACTGAGCGAGTGGAAAAAGCATCGTGTGGACGACTACAAGCGCACTCGCCGGCGTCTTTCTACACGTCGGCGAGTTGGCGAGTGGACAAGCTCCGTGTGAACGAATACAAGCACACTCGCCAACTTGCCGGCTTCTTACACGCTGGCGTGTAGCTTGTAAACTCGCCCCGTGTGAACGGGCCTTAAGGATCAGTCAAGGCCTAGTTCCTCTTCCAAAAAAACTCAGTAATAGTTTAGAGGGGTATGGAGAACAGGAAAGTGAACAGTTTGAATATAGCATCATTGACTTGAATGCTCTTGAGGAAACTAAATGATGTAGCTTCTTGTAAAATTTTTAATTCTCCACTGAAACTAGGGAAAAGTCAAGTTTGCAAATTGGGGTGTGAAGTAGCTGTAGGGTGTACTCATTGTGAATACAATACTACAAAACTGTAAAAGTGTTTTATTTAATAGGCTTAAAGAAGACAAAGCTTATAAGCTATATGATTTGAATATTAGATTAGCACTAGGCCTTCGTACGATAGGCAAGGGCAGAATCGCAGCTAAAAAACTATGCAGTGTTCTGAATTTAGGACAGCCCTTCCACAGATTTTTCTTTCATGAAGAATATTTAGGTTTGGTTGCTGCTAATGTAGCTAAGGAATCCGGTAAAGGCAGTCTTAGAAGCTGTCAAGCTCAATAACAAATTTAGCGATATTGCTGTAGCCGTCGATGGATCGTGGCAGCGAAGAGGTTATAAATCACTTAATGGCGTATTGACAGTAACCTCCCTGGCAAATGGTAACGACTCGGAATCCGCAAAAATTAGTAGTATAGACGTTATAAACTTACTCTTTATTTTGACAACCTTACAATATTAAGATCAAATTTTTGAAAATAGGACGAAGAGAGCTTGAAAATAATCCCTTCATACAAAGAGTATAGTTTTAAAATATTTATCATAACCAAATGTCATTAGTCTTTCTTTATTTACATTTACATTTATGTACATGTTGTATCACACAATACCTTTCAATGTTTTACCAAGACTGACCAAGAGTGATCAACCGTTCAACTCTACAGTACATAATTGGCTACATGCTGTGGCCGGAGCCCAGATTCATTAGGCCTATATTGCAGTTGCAGTTGCATCGTGTCCATCTTAACTTGCCACGCATTTGTATTCACTTCTAGTGGGGACGCGGCTTTTAGTACAGGAAGTCAGAGTTAATATATATTGCTCAACTTAACACAATGATAAAATGAAATGAAAAGAAAAATCATTACACAGGCAGGTTTCTAACACTTAACTTGTACTTTAAAATATGATATAAATATTTTAACAGAATCAGTTTATACAATAAAACAAAACAGAAATCATAGATATGGAAATTAAAAACAAAATCTGTAAATTTTAAAAATACTTACACACACACACTCACACACACACACACATACAAGTCAGCGACCCCCATGCGCACAAGCCCCTAGGACAAACCTACCATGGCCATGCGTTCAAAATAGAGATTTTTTATTGCTGCCACAAACCGGGAACGACTATCGAGGGATTTAATAGCTAAAGGGAGATCGTTCCAAAGATGGCAAGCAGTTACAACAAACGCTCTGTTGTAAACTGCCTACGATGGTCCTATGGTGAGGCATACGCAAAGTTAATGATAAAATGTATGAGATAAAATATATTGATCTGTACAAGTTTTAAGTAAATTATTCTTAGTGTCTATTTTATAAACAGGTTAGTAAGCTTTGAGGGGTAACAAGAATATACAGCTGAAGTATACCAAAAATGTAAAACTTTATTATTTCCAACTGTGTAAGCGTATTCTGTACATGAATACCTTAAATACAGAATAATTGTAGACTCAGCCTAAATTGACAAGAAAAACTCATGCCACACTATCCCAGCTTATGAGCTGTGGTTGGCTGACTAGGGCAACGTTATTAACTTAATTGATTACAGCTAAAAAATTAATTTCAAAATCAATCAAACATAAGCTAGTGAATAGAATTGGTTCTACTGTATTTTACAGTATATGTAGAATATGATGTATGCCTCCCAAAATATTTAATTTTTGATAATGTTACAGCATTTCAGCTTTAGTATATTTAAAGAAAGCAGAAGAAAGACTACCTAATTAATTTTGTAAGTGATAATCAACTTTTTTAATGGTGTACATTTTATGAATTACCGATACTAACAAAAGTAGTTACATTGGTTGGGATCTATCATATGTCAACACTATCTTATAGGCTAAGTGAAATTTAATTTACTATAAGTGACTTACAAATACCAATAATTATTCCGATATTTCAAAACTGGAAATGTCAATTTTTAAGACCCCTTTCGGTGTAACTTTACTGGGCTCAAGACAATACATGGAAATGTGGAAATGTATGTAATAGGTACCAAACTCATTTTTTTCACGAGAAGTAATAGTTGAGTTCCAAAATTAATAACATTTTGAAATTTTAATGAACCAAAAACTAGTAATAATTATTCTAATATAGCCTTGGTTAGAAATTGCTGTATAATTGTTAACTCATCAAGATCTCACTCACATTCTTTCTTGTACTATTCAAACCACCCGAAGAATACTCAAAATTTTGACTAGTTTTAAAGAGGTAATGTAGTAATATTATAATATAACAAGAAATTATAATACAATTTAGATAGCATTATAATATTAATATAATTATGATACATTATGTATAAAGGTAATGTAATTTTTGCTATAGTCAATGTCTTAAAATATATTATAAATTGTACCAGTTAAACATACCAAGAGAATTTGCATATTTAATTGTCATCAGAAAATATTTGTTATCTACATAAATTTACATTCCAATTAGATTACAAATACGATACAAGAGTGTTTAACTTTGGTTGCATCAAGTAAGACACAACATTTTTTTGAATAACATTTCATAGGTTTGCTAATAGCATAGATGAAATAATTTACAATTATTCATCTGTACTAAAGTGAATGTTTAATCAAACAATTTACAATACACCAACCCCGGGCACTCTCCTTTTCTGCTAGTTCTCCATAACGATAACATTACTGGAGACAAAGTGATGTATTTGCCACTTTCAGCATGTTAGTACCCTCTAAGCTTCTAACAGTTAGCCTATATAAAACATGTAAGTTTCTATTCAAGCTAAATTTGATAGTTATAAAACATCAATCAAAAATGTATTTCAATAGCAACTAGGCTTAATAAATTAATTCTATGATGGGTAAATATTTAAAAAGTTAGGTGAATTTAGCTTGAAACCTTCTTTAGTTTTACCAGCCTTGGTCATAAATTGTTCAAAATAATGTATGTCTAAGTTTGAATCAGGATTAGTCTAATAATAATTTGTAAATAAAACCTGGAGTCTTCACTATCAATTGGGAAATTATAAAATATTTTAGAACAATACTAGAGCTATCAACCTTGAAAGTAAAGCAAGTCTTCTTGGCATATATGTATGGTCTGATATCCAAAATAACATTGTGGTTACAGATTTGAGATTTTGTTGTTTTGAATTAATGTCAGGCTATATCTTGAGGTATAGTCTCAGAGAAGTTTAACCGTGGCTAAAACCTCAATTTCTTCAAAAAGGGTTTCAAGGTAAATCTTCTTCTTCAGGGGGTATCCATTGTCAACACTTCATTGTAATTTTTTATTACTTTTCTTCTTTGTCTTCACTACATTATTATTTGTTGTTTTACGTCTCAGTATATATCTATTAAATTAATTTAACTAGTCTCACATTCAAAAAAGCCTATAAAATTGTTTGATAATCTAAAGTCAGTAATCTCAATTGTTTTTACTGAAGACATAGTGTTATCATTCAGTTAGATGAGGTTTTCTCCCGGGCTTCCATCTAAAGTTATGACTAATGACTATATCACAAGGAACACTGAACTTATGACCAGTGGTAGGATTAACTGAACCGAGTATCAGTCTGGTTCATCTTATGGAAACGTCAACGTCGAGTGACTGATTGGCAGTGTTGTCTGAAGTCTCTGTAGGTCTACACTCACTTTCAACATCTTGAGAACTTCTTGAGCGCTGGAGAAACTTTCTACTTATCCTTAGTACTTTGGTTCCAAAGTTGTCTGTGGAGGAGCCCTCATCAGAACTGCTACTCTCCACTTTGCTGACATCTACTTGACACTCAGATGAGTGGCTGACTATGACGGGCTCTGTTGAAGATCCAGTGCTGGTTGATTGCCCCTCTTGCTCAGGTTTTAAGACCACCTCTACACCTCTAGTGCTGAAAACCAAAAAACAACTGTTATAACAATAGATATCACACCATCAAACCAAACCTACGTATGTCATGTTAAATAAACAAAATCCAAATTACTATTTGCTTGTACAGTATGCCCATTGCACAATGGTTTAAGGCACATTTGTTATTTATTGTGCTTTATTAATGGACCTCAACTGTTTGTCACCATAGACTTGTTGGTCTGAAGACAGGGAGGGTATATGTCACACAGGCAAACCAAGTTCTTGAATCAGCAATGTTTGGCATGGACACTACCACAGAGCTACTGTGTCCAGCCATAGAACACCAACAGCTACCACTGAGCTACTGGGTCCAGCCATAGAACACCAACAGCTACCACCGAGCTACTGTGTCCAGCCATAGAACACCAACAGCTACCACTGAGCTACTGTGTCCCACCAAGAAATACAAACAGAGCCTACCACTGAGCTACCGTGTCCAGCCAAGGAACACCAACAGCTACCACCGAGCTGCTGCGTCCAGCCAAGGAACACCAACAGCTACCACCGAGCTGCTGCGTCCAGCCAAGGAACACCAACAGCTACCACCGAGCTACTGGGTCCAGCCATAGAACACCAACAGCTACCACTGAGCTGCTGCGTCCAGCCAAGGAACCCCAACAGCTACCACCGAGCTACTGGGTCCAGCCATAGAACACCAACAGCTACCACTGAGCTACTGGGTCCAGCCATAGAACACCAACAGCTACCACTGAGCTACTGGGTCCAGCCATAGAACACCAACAGCTACCACCGAGCTGCTGCGTCCAGCCAAGGAACACCAACAGCTACCACCGAGCTACTGGGTCCAGCCATAGAACACCAACAGCTACCACTGAGCTGCCGCGTCCAGCCAAGGAACACCAACAGCTACCACCGAGCTACTGGGTCCAGCCATAGAACACCAACAGCTACCACCGAGCTACTGGGTCCAGCCATAGAACACCAACAGCTACCACTGAGCTGCTGTGTCCAGCCAAGGAACACCAACAGCTAGGTCACCGAGCTACTGGGTCCAGCCATAGAACACCAACAGCTACCACCGAGCTACTGGGTCCAGCCATAGAACACCAACCGCTACCACAGAGCTGCTGCGTCCAGCCAAGGACCACCAACAGCTACCACCGAGCTACTGGGTCCAGCCATAGAACACCAACAGCTACCACCGAGCTGCTGCGTCCAGCCAAGGAACACCAACAGCTACCACCGAGCTACTGGGTCCAGCCATAGAACACCAACAGCTACCACCGAGCTACTGTGTCCCACCAAGAAACACAAACAGAGCCTACCACTGAGCTACCGTGTCCAGCCAAGGAACACCAACAGCTACCACCGAGCTGCTGCGTCCAGCCAAGGAACACCAACAGCTACCACCGAGCTACTGGGTCCAGCCATAGAACACCAACAGCTACCACTGAGCTGCTGCGTCCAGCCAAGGAACACCAACAGCTACCACCGAGCTACTGGGTCCAGCCATAGAACACCAACAGCTACCACCGAGCTACTGGGTCCAGCCATAGAACACCAACAGCTACCACTGAGCTGCTGTGTCCAGCCAAGGAACACCAACAGCTACCACCGAGCTACTGGGTCCAGCCATAGAACACCAACAGCTACCACCGAGCTACTGGGTCCAGCCATAGAACACCAACAGCTACCACCGAGCTGCTGCGTCCAGCCATAGAACACCAACAGCTACCACCGAGCTACTGGGTCCAGCCATAGAACACCAACAGCTACCACTGAGCTGCTGTGTCCAGCCAAGGAACACCAACAGCTACCACCGAGCTACTGGGTCCAGCCATAGAACACCAACAGCTACCACCGAGCTACTGGGTCCAGCCATAGAACACCAATAGCTACCACCGAGCTGCTGCGTCCAGCCAAGGAACACCAACAGCTACCACCGAGCTACTGGGTCCAGCCATAGAACACCAACAGCTACCACCGAGCTGCTGCGTCCAGCCAAGGAACACCAACAGCTACCACCGAGCTACTGGGTCCAGCCATAGAACACCAACAGCTACCACCAAGCTACTGTGTCCCACCAAGAAACACAAACAGAGCCTTCCACTGAGCTACCGTGTCCAGCCAAGGAACACCAACAGCTACCACCGAGCTGCTGCGTCCAGCCAAGGAACACCAACAGCTACCACCGAGCTACTGGGTCCAGCCATAGAACACCAACAGCTACCACCGAGCTACTGGGTCCAGCCAAGGAACCCCAACAGCTACCACCGAGCTACTGGGTCCAGCCAAGGAACACCAACAGCTACCACCGAGCTACTGGGTCCAGCCATAGAACACCAACAGCTACCACTGAGCTACTGGGTCCAGCCATAGAACACCAACAGCTACCACCGAGCTGCTGCGTCCAGCCAAGGAACACCAACAGCTACCACTGAGCTACTGGGTCCAGCCAAGGAACACCAACAGCTACATTAAGTAAAGTTATAAAGTAAAGTTATATACAAATTATTTATGAGCTGAATTGATTGAAAACCTGAATGCCTATGTGGCGATATTCTTAAACCTGAGATATGATGTATATCAAAAGGTGTTTTCTTTAACTAAAAAACCAAAACACATTCAAGAGTAATTTTTTTATACCAATACACAATCTTATTTCAAGTTATAAATAGTTTGGGTAAGAGGTATCAGAATATAATCATTGCCAACAAGTGGACGTATAATATAAGGAAAATAGCAAGCCTTAGATTTTGTTTGGGAAGAATTAATAAACAAGTAAGACATTTTGTACTTATATTAACATTTACAATTGATAGTCATTCGATTTTATATCTCATTTGTTTTTAGGGCGAGGAGGGAAAGTGTCTTTACACACAGGTGGCCAGCCTGTAGTGTGAGACCCCTGAACTATGGATTATGTCCTTATTCTTTTCACTTGTGGCAAATGGAATGAAAACAGTTTTTTCGTCATTGCCAAAAAATGTACTTATCAAAATTTGATTAGCCATAAATTCTACCATTGTAACATTGCTACAGTGGTATGTGCTCTCCTACTGTAGGACCGACCTGTCATGCAGCAGGTGTGCGGGGTTGAGTTTGATGGCATCCTCATAACTAGGAGGCGCGGCCCCAGTCACCGTGTCATAGTCCGGGGGTTTCTCTATTGTCGAGTCTCCTCTATGTATCGTCACTATGTGGTGCATTGCATCTTGCTCCGCCTGCCAAAAGAAAACAACAGTATCATAGAACAAGTCATTGTTCCGAGTTGATCGAGTATGAAAAAGTGGTCTTTTTAACTTAGTGAATTGTAAACACTTCAGATTTGCTCTTGTTTTATATTGCATATTTGCTAAGTTTATGACTGTAATCTTTTTTTTATTTGTGTATTATTCCAGCTTCAAGAACTCTGCAATTATTTTTTTTAAGTAAGTCGCTATAGAGGAGTGTTGTTGACTGTTTGAAATTTTAAAATTCTCTATTTACCTTGTATAATTTCTATAACAAATGTTAACAAACATGGTTTAACAAAATTAAATAAAGATTAATATGACTAATATTTTAAATTGAGCCAATCTAACCCTATTCTGGATGGAAACAGAATCAAAATAAATTGCCTGGACTTAAGTATCATACGAATCTTAAACTGTAATCAGAGATGCGACCAGACTGTATAACCTTGCTGCATATTCCTGTCAGTATCTATGGACTAATCTACCTTGAGACTAACTCTGACCTTGATCAGCCAAGATGGTCATCTCTGAACAGTAGTTAACCTCCTAAGCATCATATCCATATTGTGGAAATGTTTCCTTTGCCAGACAAATTTAGATAGAACGCCCAAAAATCTTGTCCACAGCGTTTTAATCGTTTCCGCAAATAATGTATACTACATTATATGTACAGTACATAGGATTTTATTGAGAAGGTTTGATTTAACTACAGTATATTATATAACCAGTATCGGGGACCGAGCCATATGGCTCAATATAGTTTATTTTGATTGTAAAAGCAATATAAAGGAAATTCACGTTTTTACAGCTAATGTTCGCTTTTTATTATTTTATTTACAGTGGGATTTCAATTTATTATGAATACAGCTGTCCAAATTATATAAAATACCCCCGCCGCAGCAAACCTGCAGACTAAGCCAATTTCCATTTGCCTGATTGGATTTACATTAAAATAATGTCTCCTTAAAAATATCACATTTATTCCCTATTTAAATATAATTAGTTTAACGAGTAAGCCTACTTAGGTTTGCTGTAACAGGGTGGGTAAAAGTGTGTTTTTTTTATGTTAATAGTTTAGTAATAAATTTCTAAATTTGATCAAAATATGTTCATAAATAAGCAAACTACAACAGTCTACTTATTCTCCATAAGAATAACAAGGGAATTTTAAATTTACAATGTTTTGGAATTTTACCCCCTATATTGAGTAATCTTCAATGTAATCTTTGCTCAATAGATACATCAACTGATGATTATCACTTTGTACTATATTTTACTAGCAACAGAGCCCTTTGTGGTCAAATACAACGGTCTCAATAATGGTTGTGAAATCCGTATACCACTTTACACACTAATATTAACTAGAGGTCGTCCAGTGGTCGAAACTCGACCAAAAATATTTAATGTACAGACTTCTTTATTTTCATTCCACACTTTGAATAGAACATGTGATTGGAGTTTCTTCCATTTGTTTTGATTTTCTGTTTATATTTCGTTGTTATTTCGTCACCAGCATGGCAACTCATAATATCCATGTTAAATTTTTCAAAATTTTAAATTCATTTTTTGTGCTTATTTTTGAGCCTATTTTAATTTATAAAGGGATTCTGCACACCTACAGGAAAATAGCTTTCTAACAGTATGCGTAGATTTTCCCTACGATGCACACGAGCTGAGAAAAAAGGTTTTAAAGAAACATGCTTGGCTATTAATATATAGATAGATGCTACAGATTAGCACATAACATTAGAATCACATTCTTAACATAACGAACTCACTTAAAACACATATGCAAATTGTTAACAACAACATTTAATCAAAGAAAAATAAATTAAATAACAATAAGCTGTTAAATTATTAACACATGTTTCGTATGTTTAGATTATGCATACTGGTAAACAAATTATTGCCACCTATAAAAATTATTGGTTTTTCTTTTCCGAGTCGGGTTATCTTCTACCCGACCGATTTTCAAGATTTTGGTCTTAAAATAAAGCTATGCAAGCACATTTGTCATCAAGCATCATTATTAATTTATCTAATGTATTACCATTGACTATTGGATACTGCTGTATTAATAGTCAAAAGGTATTACTCAACGAAAAAATATAAATTAGATTTTTTACTTCAATTAAAGATGTATTACAGCAGTTCTAAAAACCTTTAGTGAAATACCAGCTTGCATTTGAGCTATTGATTATTATGATTCCAATCTTAATGATCCTACCTAAAGCACACTGCTGAATCTCGAATCAACAATAATTATAATCGTTTTAGTACTTAAATGCAATCAATGATACGTAACTCAAATTTTATTTTAAGTTATTTTATATGTCGTGGTTTTAAAATACTTCAAAGGCTTACACTTGAGATATTGATAGTTTTAATCAGTTAAGTTAAAGATATACTGTATCGCTCAATCAGAAAACATAAATTTAATTATATCTTGGATATGGAATTTAGTTTTAGATATATTTACTCAATTCTAATTACGTTATTCTATTTGTTTTGACCTAAGAACCTTCAGTGAAATGCTAGCTTCCCTTATTGACTTATTGATTATTAATATCGGACGTACCTAAAGCACACTGCTAAATCACGATCCCAATTTAAAAAAAAATTGAGCAGTCAAACGGTCTTGCTTGCAACCTCAACAGCAACTGTCAGACTTTGACGGGTTTCACCAAGTAAATCTTGAAAAAAACTAACTTTTATAATTATTTGCAAATCTACACGAATTAGGCTTTCCAATGACCTATTAGTTAATTAAATTGGTTCAGTAAAACTGTATATTTAACTGTAGAAAGTTTAACAACAACATATTTAATTCAGTATTTTCTCACCACTATAAATTGGGAGGTTGATTAACGTTTTTGCAAATAACTTTTAAATGGTGAGGAAATCGACCAAAGTGGAAGGTGATATTCTGAAAGAGAATAAAATTTCCTACAAATTGATACCATACAATTCTTGAAAACACTCAAAAAAGGCAGCCAAAAGTCTCACCCAAATAAAAAGTGTGAAAAACACCGTTTTCAATGTATTTCTTATGGAAAACATGTTTTTTTTTTATTTTGACCATAAATCATAAAAAAAAAAACGTTCATAACTATTTGCAAATCTACACGAATTAAGCTTTCCAACGACCCATTAATTAATAAAATCGGTCCAGTAGAACTCCATATTTAGTTGTACAAAGATTTTAAAAACTGAATTATATTTAATTAATAAAATCGGTCCAGTAGAACTCCATATTTAGTTGTACAACGATTTTAAAAGCTGAATTATATATAGAATAGATAATTTGCTAGTACTGTGGATGGCTTGTTATAAACACATGTTTCAAGTATTTTGTTTACTTTTTACTTGTTATTTTGTTCAACCAACATAGTTACTTGGCAACCAATAAGGCCAATGCTATTTTTTTAAATTTTCAAATGAGTTGTGTAGCGAAATATGAATTTTCCTGAGGTAGTGGCTGTCACCAATCACGCTTTAGGGCTATAAGCCCCTAATTCCAATAATTCCAAAATTTAGTCAAAATCCTTCTGCTGGATTTCGAGATATATAATGCAGACAGACAGACAAACAGACATTGCTCATAATAGAATATAGGGGACGAAATTATGTGATCTTGCGTGAATGTTTAATATGTGCAATAAAAGCTAGAAAAAAACATTAAAATGTTTGAAGGTTTAACAATTATTATTGTTTACTAGTTTCAAGTTAAAACAGACATGTATATAATCCATTGCGCACTCTTCTTCAATTTGAAAAATATATAACATTATACGCACCTTGGTAGCTATTCTAATCTAATGTATGCTTTTTTTAATGTACCTACACTATTATAGATTAAGGTACTGTTTTTTTACAGTAGTAATTACTAGACCTATTTTTTTCAACGACAAGTAAGCGCCCTATGTGAGATAGTAGGTGTAGGCTCCTACCTCGGATTATACAACTCAGCACGGCGCGGCGGTATTGTTCTGAGCTCAGACTTTCTCGAACAGCGTTTAACTTACTTATCAATTTATGGTTAAGGAGAGGGCCACTCCCTGCCAGCCGATATGTTCCGAATGTCGACGCCGACGTACCGCGATATATTGCACCTTTGCTTGAACAATATGGTTGCCCATGGCTCTTGCGAAAAACTCTACAGGCTACAAGAATTTACGAGGGGGAAGAATTCGACTAGACTAAGTACTCTGCAATATATACAGGTCGAGCATTCACTTTCAAAAAAACACTTCAGTCCTCATAAGTAAAGTCATAAGTCAGTATCACCCAATCTCTAGGTAGTTGACTCTACCCAAGTAAATAAAATAATTTGAAACAATGTTGAAAAATATAGAGACGACAGCATTGTTTGTACTAAGATAAATTAAATGTAATAAAAATGTAAAGCCTATTTTGAAAAATCAAACATTCTTGCCACCAAGACTGATTGCAAAAATACGTTACGTGTATGCCTTTCTCCGTCTTCAGTATTATCTAATAAATATTGACAATACAATATTTTCCCCTACGCCCACATATCTTCTGTGGCTTAATATGGGCTATATACAGACAAGAGGCTACGATTTAAAGGTTACGGAGAGAGTTAATAGTATATGCCTACATTTAAAATGCCATTATGTTATTCTTACGGGGAAAAACGTTTGTAGTTTGCTTGTTAATGGATATATTTTGGTTAAATTCGGCAGACGTATTTCTTTTATCCTATACTATTAACAGTTGATAAAAAAACTTTCTACAAAAACATTGTACAGTGTTTTTCCTCTTATTAACCTTTAATAGTAACCCTTTAATATATAGCCCATATTTAACCACAGAAGTCATAAGTCATAAGTTCTTTATTCCAGAATTACAAAATTACATTGCATTGGAATAGTCAAGTTTATAATGAAATGTACAAAGATAAAATATAAAAGAACTCTACTAAGAACTCTACTAGAAGATACATAAGCGTAACGATTAAGATATTG